ATGGCTGAAGCAAACCAAGAAGTAGAGAAGGACTTCATGCTGGCTGCACTGATGACTCAGATGGATGAATTAGCCAGAAAGATACTGGAGATTGAAGTCCAATGCAAAAGGAAGGACAGATACGTCCTCCCTCATGAGTGAAGAAAGCCCAATGACAATAAGGGTAAACGTATTGAGGGAATGCTCTCAATCATTCTCAACAAGGTAACTGAGCGTGATAGGATGCTGGAAGAAGTGAAGGAGAACATCAAATTGATGAAACAGATGATTGGTTCTCATTTCAGATCCATTCAACTACTTGAGAACCTTACGGGTCATATGATGCCTCACCTCCATCCGGCACAAAGCAGGGGGTTGCCAAGTGATGTTTTGGCTAACCCCAAAAGTGAAGTTTAAGTGTTAACTTGTGTCGTGCCATGATGTTAACTAAGGCGTTGTTTGGGAGGCAACCCAAAACCCTTTATTCCTTTATGTTGCTTTGATAAAATAATGGTGTGTTAATTGTGCAGGAAGAAGTGTGGGAAGCATTTGGAAAGAAAGAGATTGGCGAGTTGCCAAAGTATTAAGAGACCCGACTCACACCTCCGTTTGATCCAACCCAGCTTGGTTTTAGAGTCTGTAAAACTCGACGGTCCTAAAGAAATGATTGGGGAGTCACTGATCAACTCGGCGACCCCGATTTGTATCGCCGTTTGGATCCATACATTAAATGGGGGGATTTTATAAAACTCAGCGAGGAAGGTGATTACTCGGTACGATGCCGAATGGTTCTGCGCTCACAACTAAAGTCGCTGAATAGGAAAGAACTGGACGGTTTTTCAAGACAAAGTTTTAAAGTTTCAATTTCCAACACTCTCCCTCATTTTCAAACTTTACAAACTCACACCTAGTTTTACTTTCCATATTGTTGCATCTCTATTGTATTTTGGTTGATTTGTGCTCGGAATTGGATTACCTTGTCGCCTAGCATTACAATCATTTCATAGTCAGCACAAAAAGTCAGTTTTCTATGCCCTGAATTTATTTCATTAAAATTTATGCCCATTTGCAATAACCAGATCTTGTTGAAAGTATTCTGACCCTTCCGGATAGGACTAGATTGTTTACACGCATGCTTTAATTTGACAATCTTGCTTGAGTAGTTATGACTGTTGAATTCTAGTGATTGTATGCCTTAATCTGGATGAAAAATCGTGGGTTATGCATAAGTGTTGCTGGGTCTGAGCTTAATTTGGCTACTGAATCTTTTGATTTTGCTTTCGGGGGTTGCGGGGTTGAATTCGAGAAGATGGGTTAAAATTAGGTACGTTGAGCCGTTTGGCGACCATGGGGAGCTCGTTGAACCACTCGGAGGTTCGCCTAAAGTCCCTATATCGCCATTCATTTAGTGATAAATGTGCTATTAATTATGTAACTTTTGGCAAGAAGTTGAAGGTCGCCAAAGACTTTCGGCGACTCGTCGAAAGTATCGCTTCACCCTTGTCAGCTTTCCTGAATCTCTATGCACTGTAGCTTTCAGTGGACTAACTCTAGATTGACGAATGATATCGGGGACTCACCAAAAGAGTCGGCGAAGTTTATCAGTGCTTTTATAAAATATTTCTCTAACTTCTCTTCGACATTTTGCATATATGACCGAACCTAAAACTGCTGAATGAATAACGCCAGCTCAAGAGAAGTCCAAAGGAATTGCAATAAAGGAAGATGCAGTTACGTCAAAACAAAAAGCTTCGAAACTACCCACAACTACTGGAAAAGGCAAGGGCAAAAGGCCCACTCCTGCTAGTAAAACCATCACCCTAGACCGGAATACTCCTCCATGGGCCAGGGGATTTTGTAGAGCGGTGCACGTCTTTCTGGCAGACTCAGAATCAATAGACCTTGATGAAGCTGGCACCGCTGTTCCTTCTGAGGTCACTCCGAGCACTGAGGCCCCGACAGATGGAGCGACTGCGTAGACATGATCACTTTTGACCTCCTTCTCTGTCTTACTATAATTTTACTTTTAAATACTTTCATTTGCATTTTAGGACAAATGCTTTTATTTGTGGTGGGGTGAGGCCCACTTTTGTGTGCTACTCGTGTTCGTGTTTTGTCGATATATTTTGGGTTCAACTATTTAAAATTGCGTATATACTACATTTTTGTGGATGTTTGAGCTTATGGCTCCTTTTTGTTTTAATTGAAAAATGATTTTGACCTGTCTGAAAATATTTGCCGCCTCTCGTGTGTTGAATGTGGCTATTCCTTGGCAAATTTAAGTCTCAATTTCGATCAATACCGATGGTTTGAATAATGCTTACAATCGAACGAACATGAGTGTATGGCTACGATGAGGCCAAATGAAGTTGAATAGACAATATGTGAACTCTTTGCATCTCGTTGTGATTACCCGTTTATCAAATCGATTCTCTTGTGATGACCGTTGCACACTAGCAAAAGTGTGGAGTCTTGTTTGACTTAAGTGTCGATGCCTTGTGTGATAAGCTTACCTGGAACCATGCATGATGATTAGTCCACAAATTGGACTTATTTAGGGTTTTGTTTTAATGGAAATAATGTCCTTGAATGCTTGTTTTACCTCAATACCTGATTTAAATGCTGAAGCTTCAGGTATCTGAAGTTTTAGTGGAAGCATGGATACTTAGGTGCAAAATGGAGCAAATAGGGCTGAAAAGAAAAAGAAATGGAATCCTGCGGATCACCGAGTTTAACTTGGTGAGTCACCGAAATGATATAAGCTGCCCATCATTCCAGTACGCGAAGCCTTGAATGAAGTGGATCAAAAGGCGAGGAAAGGAGCAGTCGGCGGGTCGCCGATCAGTTTTGTGAAGCAGTACTGTACCTCCCAATGATCCAGAATGCAAGGATGCTAAAGGTAAGACACTGAAGGCGATGAGCTGACCAAAGGGCGGATCGCCGAGTTCATCGGCGATCTCGACTAATGTCGCCGAACAGTCCACCGCAACACAATCTGTGAAAACTATAAATACTATTTAGAGTTGTAGTCTTAAGAGAGTTTGAAGTGTGGAACAATTATTATTATTATTATTATTTTCACTTTAGAATATACTTTAGCTAATACTTTTTTCTCTCAAGTTTGGAGAGGGTTTTATGGAGACTTGAAAAAATGGAGTTCATCTTC